TGGTCAAATTGGTCAAATGATTATTATAAAATAAAATATTATATTTAAAATAGACTTGACCAATTTGACCAGTTTGACTAATTTGACCAATTTGACCAATTCGACCAGACCAATTTGACTAGCAAATTTTTGGTCGACAACTAATTTGCCCAACACTGCTTAAAACCATTAGATTGTCTGAGCCCTCTAGGCATGTCATTGATATCGCTATTGTTATGAATAAAGAGTTAACTTATCGTTATGTTCAATACATTCAAATTTTAGGTGTGATTTTTTTTTGTAAATTCTGCGACAAAGTGTATTGTCAAAATATTTGACCCGCTATCAAAAAGTTTTAGGGCGCTAAATTCTCTGCTGCATAGTTATACATATCAGCTCATATGTTGTACAGTAAACCTCGAAACCAACCCTAGCTAACCCTAGCCTAAAGACCTGCCGAAAATGAAAATTTTTTAAATGGTAAAATTGTAAATGCTAAGAACATACAGTAATAAAATGCGGGCCGAACTTTTTAAAAACATAGTAAACCTTAATTTGCGGGCCGATAAAAAAAATTATTTTATCAGGCCCGTGCAGGCCAACCTAATTGCAACGAATTTTACTTCAGAAATTTTTTTTTTTTTTTTTTTTTTGTACCCTTGTTATTAATTTTCGGCCAAAATTAAAATTTTTAAAGATCTCCATCACAAATTACGTTAATGCAGCCGCGGATCAATGTTTTGAGTTTTAGACGTACAGTACCAATGCACAAGGTTAAATGCTTGCTTGAAAAGTGCTACCATTATCAGAAGATTTCGTTATGGTAGACAATTAACAAACATAACATACGGAGACTTTCAGAATAAAATATAATTTACTTATCATTTTACAACCTTGCCAGGGTATAAAAATTTAAGCTTTAATTTATGCGTGCTATTGAACAATGACGAAAATTTTATGTAACAAGTTTTTTTTTAGTGTTTCGATCCTATTTATCAGAGGCTATTCGGATCCTCTTTTCACCTATCCGGTTGATAATTCGAATCTGAGTAAATTTGGATTCGCCTGAAAATCAAAATTTATTTATGCTGTATACCTTAATTGGAGGTTGGTTAAAGAGAACCGAATTTCATAATCTACAGTCAGTGTTGTACATGGACAGGCGTGGACGAAAGTATGGACATGTTACACAAAAAATAAAACTTTAATAGCTTAAAATTTTACTATGATAACTTATTTTAGTATATTAGGTAAAAATGTTTAAAATCTAATTTTATATTTAATTAGTTATCTTTTATATAATTTCTAAACTTTATTAAGTCACAAACTTGTATGGACATTCGTGGACATGGACATGGACAAGTCAAAAAAGATCATGGACATCGAAAATGTACAACACTGTCTACAGTATACAAGTTACTCTTGTTATAGTAAACCCTCAATCTCGATATAGTAAAGTTTTCTCGAAACCAATTTATATAAAATTTTCTTGACATAATAAATTTACTAATAGAGCTCTCGATGTTGTAAATTTTTAAAAAATTTTATCAATAGAACGGATCGCTTGACTATAAAGAGAGTGACTTGTATATTACGGATCTATCCGTTTAAAATTAGAAAGTATCCACATCTAATCTGAATTGTCGGATCTATCCGAATTTGTGTGCGCTCAATAATCATAAAAACCATGTGCGCAATCATCTTAAGCGCACGTTCAATTTTGTAGGATACGTTTATTTCACAGAAAACCACTTTATACTGTTCAATTTACAGAAAATCAAATTACATTTCATAGACAAATTATTTCACGAAAAATTCATTTCATAGACAATTTATTTACTACAAAATACCCTAACCTAATCTTACAAAAAAGTTTGTCTATGAAATGAACTGTTTATGAAATAATATTTCTGTATATTAACGTTAAGGAAATAGAATTCTTTCAAGTGATTTTCTGTACACTGTAAACGGCCCCGACGGTTTCTCGGACCCCAAAATGTTAATATAGGTGATTACTGATTGGCCAACTATCACACCATAAACCAGAAATGTGAGAAAAGCCTTCCAAGAAGGAAAAGGCAACACCTAAGCAAGTTAAAACCAGAAACTATGGCTATTCCTAATTTAGACACCCAAAAAATACTTTGATAAAGTTTATTAAACAACCTTACTTCAAGCGTGTAATTTAGAATTACAACGTACAGAACAACTTCATTTATGCTAATTGTAATCACATTATATTTGTTACGCTTGATCTATTTGTTTTCAAAACGTTCTACACAAAATTAAGCTCTTCAATAGTTACCGAGCATGTTACGAGACAAAATTAAGTGAATAAATAAATACAATCACGTGTGTATTACCCACGTTCTGCAATGCATAAATATAGACACAAAACAAAACAATTTCAGGGAGACTATGACTGAACATAACTTGAATAAATCCATCACCTGATTAAACAAGAGAAAATTACCATTTTCAATTAATCCATGCCATGCGAAAACTAATTCAACTGATTATGTATATATTATGCAGCATCAGGGTCCGAAAAACTTCTATCACTATATAGTAATCCGCTGCTAGATGCATGTGTACGTAATTATGTAGGTCGGCGCTTTAGGGCGTTCTTTTTCAGTCTTTCATTTATCCATATATTAATACAGTAATATATAACTTATATCGAGTATCAGGTATATTACCAGTTACAGTACGTATTAGAAAATGCTTTCATATCTGTTATGTACGTACGTACCTGCCGTTACCATACAATCGATTCTAATAACTTTCCTAAAGATATTGAGCGGGTAGCATCAGATATGTACAAACATCACACAATGATAAACTTAAAATTAACCATAAATAAAAAAAGTTTTTAAATTAAAAGAATGAATTTTAAATTTGGCCGCAGTACGGACTTTTATTTCCATATCAAGTCTATTTTTATCATTCGGCTAAATTTTTAAAAAAGGCTTTGATTTTTACATGAGTTGATCATCATCTACATTGTTAAATTACTCTTACGCTATAGAAGAGGTGAACCCTTCATATTGACAGATAATAAAGTGTTGCAAGTTGAAGGAGAGACTGCTAAACTTTCGAAATCCATAATATTGATGAAAATTTAGTCATGACTCATTATCTTTTTAGTACGGGATCGCCTTCTTCATCATCGCCAGTTCTATCGAGATGGAATACTAATGATTTTGATGATAGAAGAGTATGCTTTAAACCTAATACTAGGGGTGTTGCCTTATATGTGGCTGGTGCTTTGTTCGGGATAGGATGGTGGGAGTTTATAGATGCCCTAATTTATACGGCTATCAACAAAGATGCTATCTTCTCTGATATTTCTTTTGAAGACTATATTTGTGGCATTTTATCAACAATTGGAATGTTCATGTAATTATTAGTTAATTTTTTTTTTTTTTTTTTAATATTTTATATACTATTATTATTTATTTTCTTTTATTTTCTACTTTCCATCTAACGATTTACAATCTAAAATTTTCATTATTCGTTCTTAATTATAATAGTGCAAGCTCAGTAGATAGATCAATCATTAATGATTGTGTTTATCTTCATTCAAGTAGAGTGCTCTGGAAAGCTCGTCTACTTTTATTTTTAGGATTTACGATATTGGCTTGTGGTTTATGTGGTTCTGTGGTTAGTTTATTTTTCTTTTCATAACAAATTATGGCATTTTTGCGAATTTGTTTATAGACGTGGTTATACTTCGCAAAAATACTTATAATTAGCATTTTCCATTTTATTGAATTTCTATTTTTGGTTTATTACAGGCTGTATTTGTTATCAAATACACATTAAATGACACAAAGATGGAACAATTTTATTTTGGGATTGCTGTGATCGTTCAAAATGCTTGCATTATGATGAGGTATTTTATTTTATTCTTTGAGTTTTTAGTTTGTCATTGAATTAATCTTAATTATACTTTTAATTTTTTTTTTTTTTTTAAAGTTCGATTGCTTTATTAATTGGCCAAAACTGTAATGCCAAATACGATTATTTCCTTTAATTTACTGCTAGCATATATACTTGTTTTATTAATTCTATAAATTTCGTTAATTTCGTTAATTTCGTTAATGCTACATTACCTATTTTATTTTGTTAATTTTGGTCATGTTACCAATATTTTTGGTTTCTTTTCATACTTTCCCTTTACCTCAAGATTTTCTCGTAATTTGTGATAACCAGTAAGGTTTAATGTTGTGGTTATTGATTCTAGGCTGACAAATTTTTTTAGTTGTTTCATTGATTGCAATTTATTATAAATGAATTTTGGCCGGCCAAATATCTTTGTTGGTCACGTGATGTAATTACATATAACTAATATTACAGTATTAACGTTAATTTTCAAATCAATCATATAAAAAATACACATGGGTTCAAATATCATATGGGGTTAAGTCAATAAAAATCAAGCAAATATTTTTAATAATGATAAATTTTTTTAAAACTTTAAACAAAAATAACAATATTTTTTTTAAAATAAATTTTATAAGTTTGTAGAATTTATTTTAAAAACTTTTATTAAATTTAAATAAGTTTTTGTTGAGTTGAGTTATCGTTGTTTAAAAGTTTTAATAAAAATATTTGTTTGATTTGTGCTAATTTATTATTATATATTATAGGAGTAAGTCAATAGAAATCAAGCAAATTGTTTTATTGAAATTTTTTTGAAACTTTAAACAACAATAACTTAACAAAAGTTTTATCAAATTTAATAAAATTTTTTTAAATGAATTCTACAATTTGTAATATTTATTTTAAAAAAATTT